GTACGCACGCATGATACGCTGGGCCATGATTCAGTGCCTCGGTTCGCGAAGGAGCCAGTCTGCGGTGACGCACCGCCGGTCCGTCTACGAGACAGACAAGCTGACCGCCCAGCATCTGGTCCGGCGCTTCATTGCATGGTTCTCACTAGTCTGAGTCCGAACCGTGAAGCTTCGTTCGCGTCTGTTGTGTGGAAGTGTGAAGGGCTCGAGGCATCCTAGCGGGCGAGCGAGAAAGAGAGGGCGCCCCAACCACATGCAGAGCCCGCAGACAAGACTGCATGCACCGGTATATATAGTTCTTGGCAGCGTTCACAGCCTGCCGTCACGAGTCGCCCCAAGCGTGTGTAGCGCTCAATTAAGTCAAGAGTGCTTCGCTTCTGACGATTCAATCACCGCTCTATTGCCAGACTTGGCACCAGTCATGCACGTGGTTTGGGTTGCCTGTTCAGGCTGCGCGTCGCGTGAAGCGCACCGTGAGAATGTTCCAGATGTAGTCAAGAGCGTCGTGGCCAAAGCATTCCACTCACAACTTATGGGCTCCCAGCGAGTAGAGAGATAAATGTTGGACGGTGAACAGCCATGAGGAGAGCCTCGGGCACCACTCGGCATCGCCTCTATCAGTGATGCGAGCCCACGAATGCCTGCGGTCCCTGCAAGACTCAAACGACGTGCTTAAACGAAGCAGCACCCAGACACCCAGAGACAAGTCCACAGTCCAACGGTATTGACATAGAAGCTAGCCACGTCGCGTAACCGCGCAAGCCAATCATACATGTTCCCTGTGCATCAGAAGAGCAAAAGAAGCGCCTTCTCTGCCAAATTACAGACACCAAGGAAATCACTGTTGTCCGTGTTCCAGGAACTTGGATGTCGAAGGAACATGGGCCAGAGTTGATCCATCAAGCACGAGTCGCCCTGTAGCTGGAGATGGCAATCTTCACAGCGTCAGAATATTGCTGAGCACCGAATCAATTTTCAGCGCTCTCACTCACTCAGACTCAGCAGCCAGACCCAAATTAGCCAGCTCGCTGCTCGCTTGAGCCAGAACCTGAGCAGCAGCTTGGTGGTACTCGCTCTGCGCCTTGACAAAGGCAGCCAAGCTCTTGATGCCCTCTGGGTTTTCCAGGACTGCCTTCTGCGAAGCGATTGCCGCCTCTGTAGCCTCGACAAGCTGCGCGACGTAGATACATGAGCATGCAGAGACTGGAATCCGCTCTCAGAGCACGTCAACGCACCTTGTCCTCAGCGGCTTCCACCTCTTGACGGTGCGAGTCAAGCTTGGCGGTGTTTCCGGCAGCCTCAATAGCCTTGAGGGCTTGTCGCCACGAGTCGAGGTGCAGTCTAGCATCACGGACAGCTTGACGAGCCCTAGATTTTGGAGGAGAACTAGGCTTGAGGAAGGCACCATGAGCGCACCACGTCTTGGGTGGGACTCACTTGATAGCTACGGTGATCTGGGCACCGAAGGCTTGCCAAGGTTGAAGGAAGCCCTGTCTGATAGAGTCATCCTGAGCGAGTCTAGCATTACCAACACGGTCCTGAGCAAGGGCGAACTTCTGAAGAGCTTCTCCCAGCTTGCTCTCCTCTCCAGCCAGATTACCTCCGCTTGGACCAGAAGCAGGGCTAGTGGGAAGTCCTGCGATACTGGTGGGGCTTGCTCCTAGCTCGAGCGCGCCTGAAGCTGCGCCACGCGAAAGGGCGTGTGCGAGGGTGCGGTGAACCTCGGGAGGAGCGGCCGTGGGCTGAACAGCTGGCAGACTGGTGCCCTTAGTGGCAGACGAAGCCCAGGAAGTTACGCTGTGACCAATCTGTTGGCTCAATTGACCGATCGACTCCTGAACCTGAGTCTGTGAGAATCGAAGACATGAGTGTGGGAATGTGGGTGTATCAGGAATTTGCGCGCTGAAACGCCAAAGCCTCTGCTACATACAGGATAGTCATAGCCCTCTGACTCGTAAGCACGAGCGATCCTGTTGAAGATGGACGTCATCGGATCAGTTTTCCTGGCCAACTTGACTGCAATGCGGAATGCGCGCTTGACAGCTGAGCGCAAGTTCGACTGACTTGAGCAAATTGGTGTGAGCGGAACGCAGAGCATCCACGCGCTGCTCCAAGTCCTTGTACTCTTGAGGCTAGAATTGTGCAGGAGAGGGAGGCATTAAGTATCAGCACATAACTTTTGTGTCCTTGTGCGGAGCTACGAAGGGAAATGTCCGATCACGTTCGATGGGTCGGGAAGTGGAGCTAGCACCTGACGGGTACGATAGGGCCCACAGTAGGTCGAGCCAGTCCTCGCGTGTGCACCACCATCTCACAGAGTGAAGGCGAAAGTGAACGCCGCCAGGCGTTTTGCCTCGCAACATGCTTGCAGTACGAGCTGATGGATGGCGAAGACCTCTTCATTGTCGTGACCGAAATTCGAGTCGCATACTCACAAGCTCGGTGATATCATCAGCATCGACAGTCCCGAATCTCTCCTTGGCCTGCTGGTTAAGGTTTCCGAAGCCTCTGGAGATCCTCTGACCGACGGGGCCGACGTTTGCAGAGATGTTCTGCGTGAAAGCTTTCCAATTCTCCATCGTGACTGCCTTGTTCTTCTTTGGCGAGCTTGAAAGACTGGTTTTCTGGCAGCGTCAGTTGGCTGAATGTCTCGGTCCAATGGTCGAAAAGTCGCAAGATGGTTGGACTATTTGGCGTCCACACGGTATTTAGCAGCGTGGACGGTTTGAATGATGGTTGCTGAGGGTGTGGTACACTTGGAACTCACGACTGGATCGGCTGGTCGCTGTCAACCAACGCCCAGCTTGGAGATGGGCAGCAACGTGGTCCGATCACACTTCACCGCTCCATTCATGCATGCGCGGTGTTCCATGCTACCGCGGCCGCGTATAGCTAGCTGCCTGCTGTGGGCGCACGCTGCATGTGCTGTATTGCCGGTCAAGTCAAGTCGCCATTGTTTTGGGCTGTGCTGCTCGTTCTGCTGTGGTGCCTGAGGCCAGAGAGGGCGGCGCACGGACGCATCGGTCCCTCACGAGCCACGTGGAATCTGAACATCTGCAGCAGCAGCAGTCTGAGTAACGGCAGGGTGGAGGGGCTGTGGATGGACTGTTGATTTTTTGTTCTCGAGCAGCCTCGACTTTCCAACCAGCCAACGAAGCCCCAACGATTCTCCTTCGCTTCAGCTCAACATTCCCTCGTACCTCGCTCCGCAACACCCATCATTTTGCAACGATCAACGTCGTGCTCCAGCTTGACCGACCATCATCACGTCTCGCCCTTGCCATCACAGGACAATCGGCGCGTTTCCGGCCGAATCGCATCCCCGCGGACATGCCTCCAGCAGCAGCCAGCACGCATGATCAAGCTTCGGCTTCGACCACTGCATCGGTCGATGCGGCACCAACTCCACAACAGCTCCTATTCGCAAGAGCTCTCATTTCAACTTTCGCCCTATGGCCTGCTCTGCGTCTAGCCATCGCCGAAGAGTGGGGCGGCTCGGATTCGCAAGACAAGGCGGATTTCCTCCTTTCGCACCTGGCCGATACCCACGGCGGAGATCCGGTTGTGGTGCCCGATCAGGATGATCTAAGCTACGCATTGACGGCTTATTTCAACGACGAGTACGAAGTCAGATTGGAGGATGATAGCGCAGAGTATGTGGCTGGAAGGATATGCAACCTGCATAAGCTCTGTTTTGCGGGAGACCAGGTCGAGGCTGAGAATGCCGTCAAGGGGCTGGAAGAGGCTACCAAGAGTCTAAGAGGAACCAAGACAAAGGCCACCAAACAGGATGCTGGTGACGATGCGGGCATGGCAAGCGATGAAAGCGACGTCGAAGGTGGAGAGGACGGAATGGACGTGGATGGTCAGTCCGCGCAGCAACAGAGGCAGCCTAGGCAGAGACAAGAGCCTATCGTCGACGAGGATGGCTTCACAATGGTCGACAGAAGGCGATGATGGCACAAATATGGAACAGGCGTCAGTGAATAACCCAGCGGTGCGCGAAGCACCAAAGTCTGCGCAACCATCATCGGCTAGCATCGCATCTCAATTCGACCACACCAGAAGTTTGCCTACCTGCGAGGTGTACGAGATGAGACCAACGAGCAACGGGAACGAGGCTCCGATGGTGCCGGAAGCTTGGATCATGATCGAGAAGTAGTGTGTTGACTGGACTGGAGTCGACTTGCCACGATGCTGGTACTCATGGCTTCTCCGCAGCGCAAAGGATCCAACAAAGAACACACTGAGCGCTGATGCTTACATTTAGCACGCATACAGCCTGTCAATCTTGCGGGACGACTATCACATAGGTGTGTCAAAGCGGCGCATCGATCAACCCTCCGTGAGGATTTTAAATCGAGTCAAGTCATTCAGACGACTACTCTCGCCAATCCTTCGACAGCTTTACCTCAGTCTCCCACTTCAGGATTTTGGCATTTTCATAATATACATTAAGAGAGCCCAGCAAGCGAAAATGTTCATGCGGAGATGAGGACTCCATGTCGTCCAGCTTGTTCATTAACACATCCGAAAGCTCGATGTCTATCTTGCCTGCCTCTTGCATCCACCTGGCAAGAGGAATTTGAACTTTTCGGCGTCTTGGATGACTGCCCGGGGTAGGCCAACGGCGCTCGGGGTTCGCGTTGAGCCTCGCCAGTGTTCGATTAGCTCCGACCATGAATAAGTTTCTGGTAACCTGCGGCGAAGTGGATGGTCGTTCGAACAGTCAGCTCGAATTGCAAACGAAAGACCGCTTGCGGTTAATCTATCAACTTACATGTCGAACAGATCTTCGCCTTTGCAGATCTTAGATTGTATGCGCTCGTGAGAGAGGTACTGCTGCCAGTGGAGTCTGTGGTACAAGCGATCGGCATGCGATGCGCCTTTCATCTTTTGGACGAATTCTTCCAGCGTAGCAAAACACCAGCTGTGAGGAGAAATCACCGAGATGCGTCGGTCAGCCGGACACGAGTGCCCATCGCTACTGCGCTCGCGAATTGGTCGTGTCCTGCCACTCACCTGCAGTGCCAGCCAGCATCAGCGAGCATGACGTCCGACCTCTTTCCGTGACCGTAGAAGTTCCCAGACGCTCCCCACTGGTGCAAGGAAGCTCTCCAGCTAGCCTCTCCCGCTTCCCACTCGAAGCTGTAGGTGTAAGGTCGCAGTTGAAGATGAATCGGACTCGGCGCTTGGCAAGCCTTCAGAAGCTGCAAGGCTGAACGGGATGGTATCTCGTCAATATCTGACATGAGGACCAGATCAGCCGCGGAAAGCGACATGCCTCGGCTGCACGATAGCCGACGACGCGAGTGCCAAAGCGTCAGACAGAAGTGCTTAGAGCTGAGAAAGAAAGACGCGCTATAGCGACTCACAGCAAGTTGGACACGCCCAACCTCATCTCGTTTACCAGCGTGAATGGACCATCGCCGGCATTCATCGCTCTGCCCTTGTATGCTTGATACACGATCTTTGAGCTCCATTTTGACCATCTGGGCCAATTCTGCTGGAATGTCATGTTCTTCAGCATGCCCAGCGCCGGATATGTCAGCATCAAAGTGGTGGCATGTGCGGTTGTTCATTTGGGCGGAATCGCTGTGACGCAATTTCGCCGCCGTACACGTTTGTCACTCACCTTTGGCTGCCCCATCAATGTGTAATCGCTCTCCACAATGACAAACTTGTCGACCACATCCTCCAGCTCCCTCAGTCTGGCCTCCAGCAGCTCCACCTCTGTAGAGATCAAGAAGGCATCCACCAACTTGACGTCGTGCTCTCTAGTCACCCAGCCATGTCTGGCGCAAGCTGCGGCGTCATCAGCTGCCACGCCATCTGCTTGAAGATGCGGAATGATGTGATTTGGTGCTTCAGCTTTGCCAGTCGTGTCCCAGAGCGGCCGCGTAGAGTAGGACAGCGTATCTTGAAGATCGTGACGGCGTGGATATGCCCAGATCAGGATCAACCCGACTAGGGAGACCAGCAACCCGATACGCGCCAGCGCTCGTCCATTGATCATCATCCGCGACATTGCGACTTTTTTTTTTCAGACGAGGCAAAAGAGCCGATCGCAGGCGAGTAGGCGAAGTCTGGCGATCCTCGATGAGGATGGTTGATCTTGCGGATCTCGTGGGAGAGTGCAGCGAAAAGTTCCGGAGCTTCTAAGCTTCAAGCAGCGAGCCACCTCGCTGATGAATCGGGGTATAAATAACCTCCGCGAAAGTCGGGGCTTCCATTAGCTTTGCGATATTGCCAGAGGATGAGCAAGCATTCAGCATTTGAAAGGCAGGGTGTCGTGTATGTGGAAGGACATGCAAAGCTGTCAGAAGCATCGATGCAGCTAGCGAGCACCTCGAAATCGGACCTCGCAGTCCCGCAGCCAGCTATACTGTACATGCCGAGTAGTCCCGCATTTTGGCGCACCGCCTCCGATCATGCACGACGCACCATTTCGACAAGTCCACAGTTACGAGTCCGGCATGAACGCCAAGGCCGGCCGGCGTCTCTCTCTGCAGCGACGATTTACTCCAAGGCCACCCACCCACCGATCACTGTGAATTGACATCGGACATTCGGATTCGCGATTCGATTGCGATTGCAGCGAATGGAAGCACACGCACCTGAGTGACGCCGATACACGCACTCGGGGAAAAGGTGGAGCAGCGACCGTTATTCGAGTGTCTGCTGAAGCTGAAGCATACCGAGGTTCACAATTCTCAGCAGTTGGTGGCGCAGAAGTCGGCCTTGACATGCAGCAAGGAACAAACGAGCCAATTGCGAATGGGCGATCGATCGCCTTTGACACGAGCAATGAACGATTCATCAGGCGTGGGACGCATGGTGTCTACAGCGGGCGCACAGGAGCGCAGTGCATGGCAAGGTCTAAGACGACCCTTGGTCACTTTATAGTCATCTCGTCGCGAAGCACTGCCACTCCGAAAGAGTGCCTGGTGCACAGCGATCACTGTCATTCGAATTGCAGGTCAAAGATCTACGTTATGATTCAGGGTGTCACGGGTGCGTGGGAAAGGGGGACGTTAGACGAAAAGTTTACCTTTCGAGATTATGATGGATGCGTGGCTGGAAAAGGTTGAAATGAGGCCGGGGCTCAATCGAAGGTTGATATGCTTTGATGACGGGATAATGTGAATGAGCTACAGGTTACTTCGCGCTTGACAGGCCGAACGTGAAGGGATCGAGAAGAGGCAATCGGTGTGGCTGCCGAGGACAGGATTTGAGCGCACTTTGCGGCTGTCGATATGAGCGATGGAGCTCGAAGCGCAGTTGCGCGTGGAGAAAAAAAAA